CAAATTGGAACAGTAGTTTTAAGGACAAGTTGGAACGTTTTGGCAAAAAGACAACATCAACTCCCCGTCATTGGCCAATTATTGCAATATAGGCAAAGTATCTGATCGAGGCTGTAACAAAAGTTCTGTTGTCCTAATGTCTATCAGTCTATGGTGGGTGGATTCATAGCTCTGTTGGTAGATCATTTAACTCAGAATGAAGTGATTCTTCATGGTGCAGGTTCCGACGTTACCCCCAGTTGGAGCGTTTTAACAGGACGAGTACGTACTTAAATATTACCACGACAATCTCAGGACAACCTCCACTTAAAGTGCTCTGAAAAAATACGGGCTCGATAGAGGGACAGGGAGGGGAGGGAAAAAAAGATATTTGGAAGAGAGAGAGAGAGAGATGTAGCACATCAGCGCTCACCAAATTTGTATTAAGCCCCTTCATAGTGCCTCCCCCTAAAGATGGATGAAAGGATTTCTCTCCATAAGAGGATAAATAAAATGAATAAAAGTGGTTCTTCGCAGAATTGGAAGAATCAATTATTACCATACTTAAAGAAGAGTCCCTAAAATAATTCACGTTTTTTTTTATATATATATATTTTCGGGACTGGTTCAAATTTCAATTCAATAAAGATTTAATTCAACACAGTTGTTTTTATTCAATTAAATTGCTCAAAGATAAACTTCCCTGGAAAAAAGAATGGATATTATATATTGGCAAAACTGATTGTTGCAGAATGCAGGGTGGTGTATATTTTCTGTTATTAGCATATTTATGTGGGTTTTTTTTTTGGGGGGGGGGGGCAACAAAGTGAAGTATGATTGAAAGGGTATAACTTTTTTCTTTTTCATAATGTGAGAATTGGCTACGTTGAAACAACGCATTACCGACACTACGACGGGGACGTTTCTCACTCAGTGTCATGTTTGGCGCTTAAAAGGGCCGTTGGGTTTGGGTTGGCGCTGAAAAGGGCCTTTGGGTTTAGAAGCACCTCAAAGTGCTACACTGGATAAATCTGGCGGATGGCATTCATAATCTCTCCGACCTTGTTAGGGCCAACATCGTTCCGCCACAGGAACTCGTCCAGATATGTGGGAAAGAGATCCCGTGTGGTGCCACACTGTCGCCTCAGCTTCCTCTTAGCGTGCATCCACTTCCCCTCTACGGTGTTTGTATGCAGCCAGGGGAGATCAGGATCCACAAAGTTGTCCTCGTGGACGACGACGTCGTGGAGGTAGACACCGTTGTTGAGATTCTCGAGATCTCTGTACGCCGCCCATCCATCGCTGATGATGTGGGTGCCGGGCAGACACCACTGTTGGATGATTGGTTCCAAGGTTGCTCGATTCCGCTGCTCGACAATTCTCATGAGAAAGCGGCCACTTTCTCTCTCCACCGCTCCAAATACCCAGTGGCCATCACGGATGGCTCCACGATGGTACTTCCGGTGGAAAAACTTGGATTCAACGATGATAGGGTTGCCGTCGTCATCGAATCCACCCAGTGGCCTCATGTTGACGATGATGGCTTCGCTGCAGACGTCTCTAAGGAAGTTCGCCCAGTTGGTGGCCGTCTTGTCATCGCAGCCGACCTCTGCCTGAATAAACTTCAGGGGAAGATCTGCGGCCCAAAGGTAGATAAACATTATGATCTTCTTTAAGTCCAGGTGGCTCTTAGAGAAGAAACTGCCTTGCCGGATACTCTTCCTTCGTCTGCAGGGTGGCGGACATCTCCAAACGAAGCCATCTATTGCTTCTGTTGCCTGCAGCCGGCCTCTCTCCTGGCAGACATCGCATGTCCAGCTGTTGCCAATCAACGCTCTCTCTGCCAAGAATTGAAGACAACCTTCAATGTTCACTAATTGTGGCACTAACTCCAGAAGTGTCAGGTTCTGCTGTAGAACCTGAGCGGCGTTCATCAGGCGGTTTGCCGGGACAATTTCGATGCGGTGTCTAATAGCGGGGGCAGCCATCTTATACCCCAAATTTGGCGAGTTTTCAGCACCCCCATCCCATCCCACTCGCCCCCTCGATGCGTGCATGCCTATTAAAGAGAAAGGGAGAAAGGGACGGGGGGGGGGGGGGGCAGAGAAAAAGAAAGAAAGATTAAAATAACCCTTAAATTTGGCGCCCCCATCAGGAAGGGGGGGGGGTGTCATCTCTTCAAACCCCCAATGTTTCGTGCATATCTGGTGAGAAAGAAAGAAGAAGCAGAATAAAGAAAAGAGCCACCCCGGAAAAAAATTAGAAAAATGATTACAAAGAAAAATAAGTAAATAATAAATTTAGCCCCCCCCCCAAGGCCAGTTGCCCTTTTACCCCAAATTTGGCGACTATTGAGCACCCCCCCCCCCCCATCCCATCCCAACCTGCCCCTATCATGTGCGCATATCGGAAGAAAAAATTAATAAACATTTCAAAGGTAATTTCAGAGGTGGTTTGATTTTTTCTTTTCTTTTTTTAGTTCACCATAGTTTTTATTCGGTTATTTCAGTTCGCTAGTATC